CTGGTCCAAAAGGAACGAGTTGTCCACTTCTTAGGGTTGTCTGCTTTGGGGAAACAGGGTTTATTTATTTATTTACAAATATTTATATGCCGCCCAATCCCAAAGGACTCAGGGCGGCGTACAAAATTAAAAACAGTCATAAAACAATAAAATAAAATAATCCAGTCATACCGCAAGTCCGATCATATCCCGGCCCGCCGAGGACATCAGCCCCAGGCCTGCCGGAACAGGAGAGTTTTAACGGCTTTCTTAAAGGCCGGCAGGGTGGGAGTAGTTCGAACCTCAGGGGGAAGTTGATTCCGCCAGGTCGGAGCCACCACAGAAAAGGCCCTTCCCCGAGGGCCCGCCAGCCGACATTGTCTGGCCGACGGGACCTGAAGGAGGCCCAATCTATGGGACCTCACCGGTCTCTGGGAGCTGTGCGGCAGAATGCGGTCCTGTAAGTAACCTGGCCCTATGCCATGAAGGGCTTTGAAGGTGATGACCAACACCTTGAATTGCGTCCGGAGACCCACAGGACGCCAGTGCAGCTCGCGGAGGATAGGTGACACGTGGGCGTACCTTGGCGCGCCCACAATCGCTCTCGCGGCTGCATTCTGAACCACCTGCAGCCTCCGAACGCCCTTCAAGGGTAGCCCCATGTAGAGCGCATTACAGTAATCCAGTCTTGAGGTGACAAGGGCATGAGTGACTGTGAGTAAAGCCTCCCGGTCCAAATAAAGCCGCAACTGGTGCACTAGGCGAACCTGTGCAAAGGTCCCCCTGGCCACAGCCAATAGATGTTGTTCCAAATTTAGCTGTGAGTCCAGGAGGACACCCAAGTTGCGTGCCTGCACTGAGGGAGGTAGATTTGCCCCCTCCCAGGACTAAAGATGGACCATCCAGTTGACCTTTGGGAGGCAAGACCCAGAGCCACTCGGTCTTGTCAGGGTTGAGTCTAAGCCTGTTCACCCCCATCCAGACCCTCACATCTTCCAGGCACTGGCACATCACGTCGACTGCTTCACTGAAAGGACACGGGGTGGAGATATACAATTGGGTATCATCATCGTACTGATGATACCTCACCCCGTGTCGCCGAATGATCTCACCCAGCGGTTTCATGTAGATGTTAAAAAGGAGGGGGGACAGGACCGAGCCCTGAGGCACCCCATAATCGAGGCGCCTAGGGATCGATCTCTGTCCACCCACCAACACCGACTGCGACCTGTCAGAGAGGTAGGAGGAGAACCACCGCAATACGGTGCCGCCCACCCCCACCTCTCCGAGACGACGCAGAAGGATACCATGGTCGATGGTATCGAAAGCCGCTGAGAGGTCAAGAAGCACCAGGATAGAGGAATAACCCCTATCCCGGGCTCGCCAGAGGTCATCGGTCAGTGCGACCAACGCAGTCTCAATGCTGTAGCCGGGCCTGAAACCAGATTGAAAAGGGTCCAGATAATTGGTTTCATCCAAGGATCGCAAGAGTTGAGACGCCACCACCTTCTCTACAACCTTCCCCACAAAGGGGAGGTTGGAGACGGGACGAAAGTTCTTCAAAACAGCTGGGTCCAGGGAAGGCTTCTTTAGGAGGGGCCTCACCACCGCTTCCTTTAAAGGTTGCGGGAAAGACCCCTCCATCAAGGAGGCGTTGATTATCGCCTGGAGCCAGCCTCGTGTCACCTCCCTACTGGCAGAAACCAGCCAGGAGGGGCACGGTCCAATAAACAGGTGGCGGCATTCATTGCCCTCACGGCCTTGTCCACTTCATCAGGGGTCACAGGCTCAAACTCGCTCCAGATAACATGACTAAGACCAGCCCCTGGCAACTCGACTGGTACTGTCCAGTCGGAGTCCAGGTCTCTCTGAATCTGAGCGATTTTGTCCGACAGAAACTGAACAAACTCCTCAGCTCTCCCCTGCAAGGGTTCCTCCGCCTCCTCCACTTTAAGAAGGGAGCGGGTCACCCTAAACAAGGCGGCCGTGCGAGATTCTGCGGACGCAATAAGTGCGGAAAAGTGAACACGCTTTGCCGCCCTTATCGCCACTAAATAAGTCCTAAGATAGGCTCTTAATAGTGATCGGTCAGATTCAGAGTTACTGGCCCTCCAACGTCACTCTAGATGTCTCTTGTGGTGCTTCATCTCCCGGAGCTCCTCAGTAAACCAAGGCGCCCTCCGGGGACCACCACCACAGAGAGGTTGCAAAGGTGCAATTCGATCCAGGGCCCCGGACGCCGCCTCATTCCAGGCCGCAACCAGGGACCCGGACGAGTTGTGGACAAGGGAGTCAGGTATTTCCCCAAGCTCCTCCTGAAACCGGTCTGGGTCCATTAGGCGCCTGGGGCGGAACCACCTAGTCGGCTCCCTCTCCCTGCGATGGGGGAGTGATGCTCTGAAGTCCAGCCTCAATAGGAAATGATCTGTCCATGACAAGGGCGAGATCTCTATTCCCCTTAATTCCAGATCATGTATCCATTGCCCCGAGAGAAACACAAGGTCGAGTGTGTGACCACCCCTATGAGTTGGATCCTGAATTACCTGGGTCAGGTCCATGGTTGCCATGGAAGCCATGAACTCCTGCGCCGCCTCTGAGCGATCACCGAGTGATGGCAGGTTAAAGTCCCCCAGTACTATAAGTCTGGGGAACTCCACCACCAACCCGGCTACTGACTCCAGCAACGCAGGCAGGGCTGTTGCAACGCCGCTGGGAGGTAGGTACGTCAGCAGCAAGCCCAACTGAACCCGAGAACCCAACTTCAATAGGAGGGACTCACACCCAACAACCTCCGGGGCAGGAATCCCACGAGGACTCAAGGACTTCCGAGCGATGACTGCCACTCCCCCACCCCTGCCCTGATGTCGAGGCTGATGAAGCACCATAAACCCATCCGGGCACATCTCCAAGAGGGTTGTCATTCCCACCTCAATGAGGACTAGGATCTTAGAGTCCCTCCACGAGGGTCATCCTGGCATTGTTCGCATGAAGGCCCTTGCGCGCAGCCACTTGTGGTGGCCTGGTTTAGATAAGGACATTGAGGCTAAGGTGCATGCATGCCACCTGTGCCAGCGCTCTCGCCCAGAGATGCCCCAAGCTCCTGTGCATAGATGGGAGGAAACACAGTCTCCATGGTCTAGGGTGCACATTGATTACGCTGGGCCCTTTCAGGGCCAGTTCTTCTTGGTCCTCATTGACAGTCATTCAAAATGGCTTGAGGTTGTACCTGTCTCATCCACCACCACTGCAAAGACTATTCAGGTACTGAGGGGGATTTTTGCTGCACACGGGCTCCCAGATGTCATCGTGTCTGACAACGGCCCTCAATTTACTTCCTCCGAATTCCAAGCTTTCTTACAGGCTAACATGATTTGTCATGCCACGTCTGCACCCTTCCACCCGTCCACCAACGGTATGGCTGAACGCATGGTCCGCATCACAAAGGACGCCTTGAAAAGACTCACCTATGGGGACTGGCATCACAGGTTGGCTGACTTTCTCCTTTCTTACCGCACCACACCGTCCACTTCTACAGGGAGAAGCCCAGCTGAACTTCGCTGGGGGCGCAAACTTACTACGAAGCTTGACCGGTTGCATCCGGACAGACTGCCTTCATCTACCTCACATCCTAGGGCACCTAGACAACTACTTGTGGGTGCCCCGGTTTGGACTCGCAATTACGGGCCTGGTCATACATGGGTCCCCGCTTCTATTTCCAGGGTCACAGGTCCTCTATCCTATGAGGTAGCCCTGGACAACGGTCGTGTCCTGCGTCGGCACATCGACCAACTCCGCCCTAGGCGGGATCTTTCAGATGAGACTCCTGGGTCTTTTCCAGGGGGGAGGAGGACCCTTTAGAGCAAAGGGAGGGGCACGAGCTGCTGCCCACCTCCAATGATGGAGCCACAAATGGCCCATTCCAGGATTCCGCGAGTGCCCCAAACAGGAATTCTAAGAGCCTATCCAACTACCAGGCATTCACGCCTACTCCAGCCAGGGAGTCACCCCGGGGTACAATCACTATTCACCTGCACAGCACAGTACTCCAGTCAGGGAGGATACCCGGGAGCATCCCAATAAATCATACCCCGCAAGAGAGCTGGCACATAATCTCCAGAGTTGGCCTGACCTTACCCCAAGTCCTACAGGGGGTCAAACATACAGGGAGGTGGTTGAGGAACCAAGTCCCGACCGCAACACCTCTAGCCCAAATCAGGGAGTAACTGAGTTTTGGGAAGGTACAGAAACCCACACGAGCCCAGACACAGAACGGGGTTTAGGGAATGGACAGCCTCCTGACAGGTCTTGGACGGACCTAGGAGGTTCTACAGAGACGCCCAGCAGTGGCTATCACTTCAAGGGGCCCGAGGGCCTACAGCTAGGCAGGTCAACCAGGTCACAAAGTGACAGAAGCCCTAGCCTGACGAGCCCGGTGGGCGAGCAAGCAGGCCGGGCATTGGGGCACAGTCCTTGGGAGGCACCAAGGCATGATAAGGAGAACAGGCTCACGTCTCCCCTCAGTCAGGGAACACCTGTCAGAAACCCAGAGCTGAGAAGGTCACAGAGAGCAAGGAAATCTCCTAAATACTTAGAGGATTACATAACATTGCTGGCCAAACAACAGCCAGTAAACAGTAGGAGCACTGGGGAGTAGAACACTGCATCAAGAAATAATTGTATGTTGGTAGTAGTCTTAGCCCGGGGGAAAGGGGTGTTATGTCCCGAGCCATGCAAACGGGCTCGGGGCGTTTACAGGCAGTCCTGGGCAGGTGCAAGCTGCCCGGGACCAGACAGGCTGTCGCCAGCGCCTGTGCGCATGCGCGGGTGCTGGCGCGGGAAAAGTAACACATTGACCCGGGAACTGCCTATATAAGAGGCTGGGAGCTTTTGGGCGTTGCTGAAGCCTTCACCTGTAAGCTGAACACAGAATAAAAGAAACTTGAGAACTACAACTGCTTCTCGCGTCTGCTTTTCGCCAAGGACTCAACATATACCATTCATTTTTATTTACGATGAAAGATATTGTATTTTTATTTCACTACATCATTTCAAAGAAGAGAACAGACCAAACAATTGCTGAAACTGGAAGCACATTTAAAAAGGAAGGTACATACTAAATATTTCGGAAAACAGAGGTGCTAATTTTTTCTTTCATTAAATATTTCCCAAAACCTTGTGTCTTTTTTGTTTAATTTTGGGCCATCAGATTAACTAATATAAAACAAGTGTGAGAGAAAATTTTCCAAGTGAATATATTCCTTGATAGTTTTCACATAGTTCAACCCAATCCAGTTTGATCCAGTTCCGTCCAATCTGTTGCAATTGAACCAAATCCAATCAAATTGTTTTGTTTTTGAGCTATTCAAAGAGCCAACTAAAAATCCACTATAAATATTTTACAACTTGTTGTTTTTCTTGTTCCCATCCCCTTTTCATATTGTCATCTTTTTCCCAGCCTTTGCTCTGTCCTTCTAAGAACCCTGCCTAGGGCCTCCTTCACCTGATGGTTCCTCAGAGAGTAGATCATGGGATTGAGAAAGGGCGTAACGGCAGTGTAGAAGACAGTGACTATTTTAGCGGCAAGTGACTGACTTTTCCCACCTGGAGTTACATACATTCCTGCCACCGAACCATAGAAAAGGGTCACCACTACAACATGGAAGGATATGGTGGAGAAGGCTTTCTTCCTGCTACTTTGATTAGAGGATTTGATCAGTGTGACAACTATAATGCCATAGGAAACAGCTACAAAGATTAAGTTGCCCAATATGATGAAAATATTCATGGAAAAAAGGATAAGTGGAACATTTCCAAGTGGAGGACAAGCTAAGGACAAGAGCCCTTGATCACACAAAAAGTGGTCGGAGACATTGGGGCCGCAGAAAGACAGCCTAGAGATCAAAGTTATTGGGACAGCATATACCAAAAAGCCAGCCATCCAACAACTAGCCACAAGCTTGGAGCAATTCTTTGGAGACATAATTGTTGGATAATAGAGTGGGTGGCAAATGGCCAGATAGCGATCCAAGGCCATGGTTGAGAGGAAGAAGGCTTCAGTGCTGCCGAGGGAGTAGAAAATGTAGAACTGTATGAAACAGGCTTGGAAGGAAATGATCCCTTGAGGGGAAGCCAGATCAAAGAGCATGCGGGGCATGGTGGTGGTCACATAGCAGATTTCCAGCAGGGAGAAGCTTCCCAAAAAGTTATACATGGGGAGCTGTGCTAATTGCACATCTACATGCACCAGCATGATAATAATGGCATTCTCAGCCAAAGTGCTGATGTAGACAATAGTAAAAAGAATAAGAAGAAAGAAACGTTTTTGTTGTCCGCTCTCCAAGCCTAGCAAAATGAATTCCTGGACTGTGGTCCTATTGGTCAGCTCCATCTGGAATCGAATAAGAATTATACATTGTTAAAGATTGTCAAATATATCAATATAATTCGGACAAATTTCTAAAATGTCTGATTGTGGGATTACCAAATTCAGAACAAATGGTTTGGCAATGTGGATCTCTTCTAACGGTGTCATTAAAAATGTTCAAGAACAGTCCCAATGCCTTCTATCGCTGGACCCTTTCCAATAATATTATGAAAGCATAAAGTGAATGGAATTGCACTTTATATTAGAAATAAATACATTGAATAGCATTCAGTAGAAACTGAATGCTATTATATCATTCACATAGCTGCCTTGAACAAAATGTTTAAACTGCACCAAACCTCAGATGGCTTCATCGCATCTACAGCCAAGTACTATAATCCATTTTTTATAATTTAAAACTGTGCTTTTCAACTTCGAGAACTTTAAGATGTGTGGATTCTAACTTCCTAAATTCTGCCTGGGGAATTCTAGACTTGAAGTCCACACATTTCAAAGTGTTGAGAAGCACTGTTCAGAATAAAAAACACATGGTAAGAAACATCTGTTGACATCTATTGATAGATGGATCCTCACTAATATGATAGCATGGAACAGAAGTAAACATAGACGACAACAGTGTATGGACTATAGATTTAGGGAAAGATAGTGCCTTTGATTACAACTGACGTTGAACACAAAGATGGGGAAGACACAAAGTTCTGCATGCTTATAGATGAGCTAATCCCCTGGAATGGCTACATTGATACACTGAATGACAGTGCCTAAATTTAAATCCAAGTGTGTCTATGATGTTGCCACCATTCTTGCTTCTCAGCATGTCAACGCACTAGGGGAAGGAGGGGGGGAAATGGAATGCAGGCTCCAGACAACAAGAAATCAGCCTGTGTGAACCAAGGACGTTTCAGCAGATTTCTGCTTACCCACCTAGACATTTTCTCATAACAATATTTTGACACTCGATTGGACAATGTGACCTGCACCAATAGGGGCAGGGAGAATTCTATATTTTAATTATAGTGGTTTGTGTGGGAAATAACCAGAGCTGGTTTTGCTGTAATCTGTGCCGAAATGATGTACTCAATAAAGTTTTGCATTAAGAGATTGGATTTCTAGATGGTGCTTGCTCGGTTGGGTTCATCAGTTGGAACCTTGACACCAAGATTTCCATTCCCATTCAATGCACTACCAACACCAACAGGAACAGAGCAGTTACATTTAAGGCATAACCAGACTTGTATCTTGTGCAGTGTAAGTTCAGACTTGACCTGACAGGCTGTCCAGGAAAGAGGAGTGAGGCAAGAACAAGAGAAGACCAATAAAAGGTTGACTGCCCAAAGTCAAATAATTTTCCATCTCCTTCCCTGGCTATCGTGGTGTTTTTCTAGTTATAAGGATATAGTCAGAAATATATTTCAACAGATTTAGGTCCAGATCTAATTTTACTTTCTTATAGGAGTACTGGAAGAAAATCCACTTAATGCAAGATGGCTACAACGCAATTTTGCTCAAGAAACCAGAACAACGGAGAGAATTAGATTAAGTGGGGAGCTCACAACATTCATTTCTCCCAAACTGCAGGCAGCAGGCACTAAACATGCCACATTAAAGAAAGGTGCAGTGACACTGCTGATCAAATTCAAGCTCTGCAGTACATTGCTAATAAACATATCGCTGTTTCCTAGTGTATTAAAAGTCCTTGTCCTGAATTGGGGAATTGCACAGTTAAATTAACAGTCATCCAACCTCTAGTTGAGCAGCTCTTAGGTGGACATTTTACTGACAGACAAGATAAATGACCTAGTCCCAGAATATAGGTGTACAATTTCAGTATCCTCCTCCATGCAACAATTTCCTTAGATGTATTTTAGTCTAAACATGGGAAATGAATTACCACATAGAATAGAATAGAATAGAATAGAATAGAATAGAATAGAATAGAATAGAATAGAATAGAATAGAATAGAATAGAATAGACAGAGTTGTAAGGGACATTGTAGGTCATCTAGTCCAACCCCCCCACCCAAGCAGGAGACTGTACACCATTTCTGATCGATGGCTGTCCAGTCTCTTCTTGAAAGCTCCCAGTGATGAAGCTCCCACAACTTCTGAAGGCAATCTGTTCCACTGATTGATTGTTCTCACTGTCAGTACATTTCTCCTTATTTCTAGGTTGAATCACTTCTTGATCAGTTTCCATCCATTATTCCTTGTCTGTTCTTCAGGTGCTTTGGAAAATAAGTTGACCCCCTCCATTCTGTGACAGCCCCTCAAATATTGGAACACTGTTATCAGGTCTCTGCTGGTCCTTCTCTTCACTAGACTAGCCATGCCCAGTTCCTATAACCATTCTTCATATGCTTTAGCCTCCAAGGGAAGATGACTTTAATTGTTTCTAAACTGAGCTATCTCTCAAAGACTTTGAAAACCTATAGTAAATATTAAAGCTGCTTTCTCTCCAGGAGGATTATGGCCACGTACCTTAGCTCTGCTCCTTCATCCATAGGACAGGGATGTGTGGTAGAATCCTTGTTGTTCCTCTCAGCTCCAAATGAGGGATCAGACTGAGGCTGCCTTCCATAAAATTATCAATATGTGTCAGATCAGTATGAGCTAAGATTTTGAATTTGTACAAGCAAAATAGTTACAAGCCATCCAAATGAACAAATGCTATGGTGCCATCCAATCCCAATTCGGCTGTACTGGCAGATAAGAAGTCCTTTTTGTATTAAGCAAGAGCACGTTATCAAGCATGAATTTAAATATTGGTGTGAACAGGTTTGATGGTATGCCATCAAAAAGCCCCTGCCTCTCATTTATAACATCTTCTGGCAACACCAACACCTTATCTAGTAGGGTATTACAAATAGCTGCAAGCAATTAAAAACAAAAGAATACAAAAAAATGTTGCCTGGGAGCAATCAAGAGCAGCTGTCAGACTGAATGCCCAGGATAAATTTTGGAGACTTGTGGCAACAGGAATTTCTTGAGTGAAATGATTGGCAACCACTGGAAATTTCTTGAGCTTGAGTGAAATGATTGGCAACCACTGGTGGTTTCAGAAGGAGGCAATCTAATTAGGCAAATCAAACCTAGAAAGGTGCAAGAAGAGGATTAATGCAATTTGAATTCATAGAGGATCATTTTCCTAATGGCATCCTAGTTTCACTCTCCATTTACAGTGTAAAATCAGGTTTAAACAGTGTGTGTGTGTTTGCCTATGATTGTCAGCATTTTCACAAAGGAAAAAAAAAACTAAGTCTTATCAGCAAGCTAAATAACAACAACAACAACAACAACAACAACAACAACATCTGGCTGACTGTGCGATGATCCATAATAAAATTGGAAGGGACCTTGGAGGTTATCGAGTCCAACCGCCTGCTCAGGCAGGAAACCCTACACCATTTCAGACAGATGGCTGTCCAGGCTATTCTTAGAAACTTCCAGTGTTGGAGCATTCACCGCTTCTGGAGGCAGGTTGTTCCACTGGTTAATTGTTCTAACTGTCAGGAAGTTTCTCCTTAGTTCTAGGTTGCTTTTCTCCTTGATCAGTTTCCACCCATTGCTTCTTGTCCTGCTTTCAGGCGCTTTGGAGAATAGCTTGACTCCCTTTTCTTTGTGGCAGCCCCTGAGATATTGGAACACTGCTATCATGTCCCCCCTCGTCCTTCTCTTATTAGCTTATTTTACTGGTTTTAATGCTTATGCTAGAAGTTCCTAGAAATGGCAGGAGGGGGAAAATACCTTGACAGATGACCAGAATGGCCTTAGATCAAACCAGTCCTTGTGTGATCTGAACTCCATCTTTTACAATTTGATCCTAAAGTAACTTTGTCAATTGCTTCCACAGGATTTCATAGAAGGCTTTTGACTCTAGGGAAATCCTTTGGCAGAAACTCAAAATTGAGTTGAGCAAAAGCTAGCACTTGTGACGGTACCTAATTTGGGTAATGAAATGTCTACAAGAAAACAACCAAGCTCAGACAGCACCAAGGACACTTCAGTGAATAGTTATCTCCTCACTGCAAAGGTGGGATACTGTGAAGGGTCCTTGGTGCTCTCTGAGTTTGATTGTTTTCTTGCAGACGTTTCATTACCCAAACTAAGTAGGCACATTAGTGCTATTTTAGTTACCTAGTTTGGGTAATGAAACGTCTGCAAGAAAACAATCAAACTCAGAGAGCACCATGGATTCTTCCTTTCAACCCTGAGCTACAAATATTCTTTGGTGGGTAACTATGGCAACATTATGATTGTGGACTTCAATTTCCAGAATTCCTGAGCTACAGCCCACTCTTGCCTTATCCTCATGTTTTCATTACAGTATAACTATCAGGTCCCCAAATCCTTATTGTTTTCCCTGCATATGTGCTCTTGTTTTGGGGCCTGCTCTTCTGCTGGGGGGAGGGGGGAATTTGCTTTCGCTTGGGACAGTGTTTCACAACCTTGACAATTTTAAGGCATGTGGACTTCAACTCCCAGAATTCCACAGCCAGCATTGCTGGCTGTGGAATTCTGGGAGTTGAAGTCCACATGCCTTAAAATTGTCAAGGTTGAGAAACACTGGCTTGGGATAACTTTCGCTTTCTACTTTTCCTCTCCCGCCTCTATACACTCAGAAAGGAATGTATCTCCCTTATCAGGGAGACGGTTACAGAGAAACGAACTGGAGAAGACCTTGAGATGTGTGCCAACTATGCCAGTTACTCCCACATCGTGCCACCTGTGGATTGGCTGAATTTCAAATGGACATTATGACTTTGGTGGGAGGAGGAACATTGCTAGCTTAACTATACCGTTTAAGCAGGATTTTCCCCAGATCTTGCCTTGACTTCCCTACTGTCACTAACCCTTAATAAAAGTTTCCTTTTGAGACCATGCCTGTTTCAAGAGTTCTGCTTTCTTGGGTGGTTAGCTGAGGTGAGTCCTTACAATAACACCTATTGCAAGATAAAGTGCAACTGTGTAGAATCAACATCTTTCACGGTCAGTTCAAATAAGTAGACATGTAAATGTGGGTGTTTCTTTACTTCAATGGTGAAAAAAGTAAGGTTCTACATTTAGGCAAGAAAAACCAAATGTACAGGTATAGTATAGGGGGTACCTTGCTCAATAGTAGTAACTATGAGAGGGACCTCGGAGGCCTAGTGGACAATCACTTAAATATGAGCCAGCAGTGTGCTGCAGCTGCCAAAAAGGCCAACACAGTGCTAGGCTGCATTAACAGAGGGATAGAATCAAGATCACGTGAAGTATTAATACCACTTTACAATGCCTTGGTAAGGCCACACTTGGAATACTGCATCCAGTTTTGGTCACATGATGTAAAAAAGATGTTGAGACTCTAGAAAAAGTACAGAGAAGAGCAACAAAGATGATTAAGGGACTGGAGGATAAAGCATATGAGGAACGGCTGCTGGAATTGGGTATGTTTAGTTTAATGAAGAGAAGGACGAGGGGGGACATGATAGCAGTGTTCCAATACCTCAGGAGTTGCCACAAAGAAGAGGGAGTCAAGCTATTCTCCAAAGTGCCTGAAGGCAGGACAAGAAGCAATGGATGGAAACTAACTAAAGAGAGAAGCAACCTAGAACTAAGGAGAAACTTTCTGACAGTTAGAACAATTAACCAGTGGAACAACCTGCCTCCAGAAGTGGTGAATGCTCCAACACTGGAAGTTTCTAAGAAGAGACTGGACAGCCATTTGTCTGAAATGGTATAGGGTTTCCTGCCTGAGCAGGGCGTTGGACCAGATGACCTCCAAGATCCCTTCCAACTTTATTGTTATTATATTATAATTGTACCTCAAAACTAAAGAGGGTATTTAACTAGGGAAGAACATTTTCTCCTGATGTTCCTCCAGAAACCTTTCCCAGCAGTGGTCCTGGAGAAAGAAAAAGGAGGTCCAAGAAGTCCAGAGGTTCTAAGGAGGACAATTAAAGCTTTGACATTTTCTAGTAGGGAGCCTTCACTCCAAGTCAACTTTGGAATGATCCTCCCAGTGTTCTTCACTCATAGCTCCCAGGAATGTCCTCCCAATAAGAGAGCACAGCAGCAACTTAACAAGAACAGTTCATTTCTTGTGCCATTGTCTCCTTACAAAAACAAATTGGTCAGTAGCTATAGATCTTCCTGGCAATAGGCCATCATAGACAAATTGCATGGAGACTGTTGGTATTTTGGGAGGCAACAGCAAATTTAAGCATAGGACAACACCACTTTTATACATTGGGAAGGTTAAATCTCAGTATTGGATCATTCCAATCATCTCTTTTAATAATAGCAATGTTCTTTAATCTCTAGATCTCTTTTGTGAATAACAGAATAATGGAGTTGGAAGGGATCTTGGAGGTCTTCTAGTCCAACCTCCAGCTTAAGCAGGAAGCCCTATGATACCCTTTCAGACAAATGATTCACATGATTGAAATCCATCTTTAGGATTTTCGAGTATTTGTTCTACCTCTGCTTTTTCATTATCACAGTGGAGCATCTATTCCCCTTTCAACTTTGGCCTCCTACTTATTTAGATATTACTAAGAGGTCTCCTTTCTCCTCTTCATAAATTCAACCAAATATAATGAAATTAGGGAGGCCTGTTCAAAGTCTCATTCATCTAGTTCCACAGCACTCAGAAGATCACTTATGTTAAAAGGTTAATTTCATGGGCTTTTAAAAAGTCAGTGGCAAACAGATGAGGACACGTGTCAGAGATGATGATGTGAAACTGTCATGATTTAGAGACAAATATCCATATATGCACACATGCACAATTGTTGCCTACCGGGACAGCCATACAGTATGATTCATCCTGCCATGAAGAGTAGACAATCTCTTTCATTTATAATGTTAGATATTGCGTTTTTATTTCACTAGGTGGTTTCAATGATCAGACCAGCCGGAACAGTGCTGAAATGGGAGGAACAGTTAAAAATGAAATTATATACTTAATATTTCAAGAAGCAAAAGTGGTCTTCTTTATTCTGTTATGTATTTGCCAAAAGCATTCGTGATTTATTTTGACCATGAGGTTAACAGGTGTAAAACAAGTGAGAGAATTTTTTTTCTTTATATTTTTTCATCCACTCCAATCCAATCCAGTTCATTCCATTCTAATCTAACGGAATTGAATCCAATCTATTTAATTATTCAGCTTTTAAGCTATTTAAAAACACAAATAAGGGCGGGGGGGAAGTCCACCATAAATATTATACAATTTGCTGATTCGTTTTCTCATTCTCAACCATTTTATATACATCATTTTTTCTCTCTCAGCCTTTGCTGCATCCTTCTCAGAAACCTGCCCAAAGCCTCCTTCACCTGATCGTTCCTCAGGCAGTAGATCATGGGGTTGAGAAAGGGTGTAACAGCAGTGTAGAAGACAGTGACTATTTTAGTGAGATGTGACTGACCATCCCCACCTGGAGCGACATACATTCCTGCCACAGAACAGTAGAAAAGGATCACCACCACCAGATGGAAGGATATAGTGGAGAAGGCTTTCTTCCTGCTGTGTTGGTTAGAGGATTTAATCACTGTGACAATTATAATGCCATAGGAAATAGTGACAAAGACAAAGTTGCCCAATATAATAAAAAAATTCATGGAAATCTGGCTGATAAAAGAAACATTTTTAAAAGGCGGGCAAGCCAGGGATAGGAGGCCTTGATCACACACAAAGTTGTCAATGAGATTGGAGCCACAGAAGGAGAGTCTGGAAATCAAAGTCACTGGGACAGCATAGCTCAAGAACCCAGCAATCCAGCAACCAGCTATAAGTTTGGAACAGTTTCTTGTAGACATAATTGTTGGGTAGCGGAATGGGTGGCAAATGGCTAAATAGCGATCCAAGGCCATGGCTGAAAGGAAGAAGCATTCAGTGCTGCCAAATGAGAAGAAAACGTAGAACTGAAGGAAACAGTCTTGGAAGGAGATGATCCCTTGAGGAGAAGCCAGATCAAAGATCATACGGGGCATGGTGGTGGTCACGTAGCACATTTCCAACCAGGAGAAATTTCCCAAGAGGATGTACATGGGCAGCTGAGATAAGTGGTCATCTACATGTACCAGAGTGATAATAGTGGTGTTTTCAATCAAAGTTATTATGTAAGTAAAACTAAAAAGGATAAGTAGGTAGAATCGCCATTGCTGCCCACTCTCCAAACCCAGTAAAACGAATTCATGGACTGTGGTCTCATTGGCCAGATCCATCTGGAATCAAATAGAAAGAAAACAAAGTTCTACACTGTTAAAGAAGTACTATTCACAAATGTTTCTATCCATGATCTAAACATTCTTAAATGTGGAACGACCGGAATTGATGGTTTAATTTATTTAATCTAAGTGCCAGCTGATTATGAATCACTTTGGTAGCAAGAAGGAATTGTTCTGACCCTGCTCATCTACTCTCTGAAGTTACTCTTGAATAAGAATCTTTCAAGAATGATGGAGTATAGTCAACAGATTAGAGAGGGAACCTTTCACAGGATATCCTGTATCAATGTGAAAAATAAAAAAGAAACTCATTGTTGGCAGTCTCTTCTTCAACTGAATTCCTTTTAAGATTATTACTAGAGTATCATAGAAACACGACAATAACTGCTATAGGTACATCATTCTCACAACTTTCTTGACCTAAATATTTGAACTCAGAGTTATGCAATACTGTATAATTCTGAGCACTGAAACACATCCCATCAATAGCCAAAGTAAAATATTTCACATAGCATAAAATATAGATGAAACAAGAGATGATAAATACTCTTACCTCTTCAAAGTGGGTTATACAGACAAACCAAAACTATGAATATTAATACTAATTTTATTCTAAGGTTATAGTAATATAAACTTGCAATCCTGAATATCCTCCTTCTCCTTATCTTCATCAGGTCCTGTCTGGGTCGCTTTCTCAAATTGCATTTCTACTTTCCCCCTCAAACTTCTTCTATCTCACCATTGTCTTGGTGGTGGGTCTTCCTTTGGTTATTGCGGGTTGTATCTTCTTCGCATATAGATACAGACCTAGAGTTGCCTTGTAACAAGCAACAGCGCCAAACATGGATGATAACAGGGCATGAATTCAAATTGATGCTAGGGATGCGCCTTTCATTTCAACTGAAGCTGAACTCAAAGATAATGAGGGGGAAGACAAAAGAACTAAATCTTGGGAAGGAGCTGCCACAGTGTAAGAAGGAAGAGCACCTGCATTTAGACTCCATAGAAAACTCCAGAGGTGCTGAGACAGAGAAAAGCAGGTTCAAAGCACTATGAACATCAACAGGAACACAGAAATTAAAATGGGGCATCTCACAGCTTGTGCTTTATGGGCTGTAAGCTCAGGCTTGATCTGAGAAGCTGTGTTGGAAAGAGGAATGAGGCAAAAACAAGAGAGGGTCAAGAAAAGATAAGCAATTGCCCCAGGTCAAAATCTTTCCCCTTACTACCCTGAGTCATTTAGTAAATCTGCCAGTACAGTAGTCAAATTTAAAGTGAGTCTCTTCAGCCACACTAGTGCCCCAGGGCAGAATTCTACATTATCTATTAAACAATAAAAGTTTGTGAGACTGTGGGGGTAGCACTTTACTGATGGACAGATCAAATGACCCAGCTCAGAAATTTAGATGTAGAATTTCAGCATCAGCACCATCCCCACTCTATCTCCTTATCTGGCTGTCATGGAGTTTCTCTGGTTATAAGGATATGTCCCCAGATATATTTGATCAGATCTACAGTAGCTTCCAATCTAATTGAATTTTCTTATAGGAGATCTGGAGGAATGGGCAACTAATAGGACAGTAGATGGCTATAATTCAATTTTGCTCAATGAAACCAGAAACAGGGAAAGTGTTAGATTAAATAGGAAGCTCCCAACATTCATTTTTTCCCCCAAATTGCAAGCATCATTCAATAAACCTGACACTTTTAAGAGAGGTGGTCAAGTTCTGCAATACATTGCTGATAAACACCTCCCTCTCGCCTAGTGGATTAAAAATCTATGTTCTGGAAGTAACACAGGTAAACTAAAAACCATGTAGCTAGGGGCTTAGCACCTCTTAGGTAGAGATTTTACTGATAGGAAAGACCAAATGACCCAGACCAAGAATTTACATGTAGAATTTCAGCACCATCCTCTTATTCAACAGCTCCTTTTGATCAACTTTTGTTGCTGGATCCATACATAGCTATTTCTCAAAGACTTTGAATGCCTCTAGTAAATATTAATGCTGCTTTCTCTCCACTTACCATTAGCCCCACTCTTTGACTCAGAGGACAGCGATCAGGCTGAGACTGGCTTGGATTGGTCAAAAATCATTAGAAGCCACCCCAATTTTTATTTTAAAGTGCTATGCTGCCAGAAGATCCTGATTGGGCTCTACTGACAAAGAACAAGTCCTTTTTGCATTAAGCACAAGCATGTTCTCCAACATGGACCAAAACATCGATGTGAACAGGCCTATTTGTGTTCAAGAATAAAGCGACTATCTTCATTTATACCATCTACTAGCAACATCAATTGAACACTCCTTATCCAGTAAAGCATTATAAAGAATACAGAAGGTGCTGGATGAAGTCCAGAGCAGTTGTCAAGGTGATGTCCTGGATAAATTTTGGAGATTTTCAGGAACAGGAATTCCCTAGGCTCATGTTAAATGATGTCAATGGAATTAAACCTATGGGTTTATGAGATAAACTAATTAGACCATTCAAATCCAGAAAAAGAGATTCTGTGACATTTGAATTGGCAGGGGATTATTTTGCCTGGTGAGGAAACTGACCCTGGATTCACTCTTCACTATGAAAGATCAGCTGATATACTCCAAGTGCAGAAGGGGGTTACCAAAATTGTCAGCATTTCCATGAACAGAAAGAAAGATAGTTCCCTTAACCAGCTCTTGACCATCAAACTAAGTGCTTCTTGCAAGTTTTATTCAAATACTTTTATCTTATTTTACTGATTTGTATATTCATTTTTGACTGGCTGAACTGTCATCTTCTTGCCCTCGTATTACAGCATAGCACCTAGTGGAAGATAAACTGCAAATAGAATGGCACAATTGAACCCTAAATTTTACGACCTTTCTTGCCACAGTTGTTAAGTGAATCCCTATAATGGTTAAGTCAGTAACATGGTAGTTAAATGAATCTGGCTTCCTCTTTAAGTTTGCTTGTCAGAAGGTACTTCATAGTAGTTGGAGGTTTTGAAGGGGGAAGAATTACCATGTTTCCCCAAAATTAAGCTGGTCTTATATTATTTTTTTTGCCTCCAGAAGAGGCACTAGGTCTTAATTTCAGAGAATGTCTTACCTTAGGATCACCACAGCCAGGCCTCCCACACCCTGACACCTGTCATGTTGCTGCTTGACTTCTGCAGCCACTTGCTGCCACTTGTGGCCGGACACCATGTGGCACATTGCACCATTGCCACTCCTCCCAGCAGGATGCTGCATGGTGCTTTGCCCCCTTTCTGCTCCTCCCGGCAGGCCGCTGCATGGTGCTTTTCCCCCTTTCTGCTCCTCCCAGCAGGATGCCGCATGGTGCTTTACGCCATTTCTGCTCCTCCCAGAAGGATGCTGCATGACTCTTTGGGCCATTTCCACAGCAGAAATGGCCTGAAGTGTCACGTGGCCTCCTGACACAAGCAATAAAAGTGACCTGAAGCATGCAAGCAGCAGAAGCGGCCTAAAGCACACAAGCAGCGGAAATGGCCCAAAGTGCCATGTGGCATCCTTCTGGGAGGAGCTGCAATGGTGCAATGTGCCACATGGCATCTGGCCACAAATAGCAGCAAGCGGCCATAAAGAAGTCAAGTAGCGGCGCAACAGGTGTTAGAGTGAGGGAGGCCTGGTTATGGTGGTCCTACCAGTAAGGTAAGTGGGTGCGGGGCGTGTGGGGCACCTTCACCTCCCTTACCCCCACCCTAGCTTGATTTTTAGGGGTGCGCCTCACCCCAAAACTAGGGCTTACTTTTGGAGTAGGGCTTATATTAGGCCCAAGCCCAAAAATCAAGCTAGGGCTTACTATTGGGCTGAGTCTAACTTTCAGGGAAACATGTGTGGAAAGTCTATATAGAAAGATGAAGGAAGCTAATTATACCAATATTAGTTATTTGAAAGATCTATGAAGCTTGAATGTCTTGTTTTGGGAGATCAAGGAAGGATCGACTTAAACAATGTAAAATATTTTTCTGTGATCGTAAAATAAGATTAGTGAAAATTTTGTCTTTGTGTGGATATGTATTGGACATCTCAGAGTATGACAATGGAGAAGTTAGAATTTAACCCATAAATATTGCACTATTTAAAGACGTAAATTTATTTGAAGGTTTAAAGGCAGCCTGGGTTCAAGACCCAAGCGTCGCATGACAGGGTGAGCTCCCATCCCTGCCTCAGCTCCTGCCAACCTAGCAGTTCAAAAGAATGTAAATGCAAGTAGATAAATAGGTACCACTTTGAGGGGAAGGTAGCAACATTCCATATGCAGCAGCGTATAGTGATGTGGGCCACATTATCGGAGAAGTGTTTTCAGACAACACTGGCTCCCTCAGCTAAGAAACAGAGATGAGCACCATTCCCTAGAGTCAGACAGGGGAAACCCTTACCTTTGCCTTTATTGCCCTATTAATGTTGCATTTTGAATTGAGAATAATAGGATTGTAAATAAGAATTTGGATCAATCATCTGAAAATTAGAACACCTATGTTCCTCTTGGTTAAGTTCCTTGTACTTGAAATCTACTTTAAAAAATGAGAATTTTCTAAAAGGATTTACAACACTGGTATTGAAGGTTGATTAGATTTCTCCTTTCCATTCCTTTTATCACGATGTGATGTTTTTTCTCAGCCATCCCTCCATTCTTCTCAGCAACCTGTCTATGGCCTCCTTCATCTGATTGTTCCTCAGACAGTAGATCATGGGATTGAGAAAGGGCGTAACGGCAGTGAAGAAGACAGTGACGATTTTAGTGACCTGTGACTGACCACCCCCACTTGGAGTTCCATACATTCCTGCCACAGAACCATAGAAAAGGGTCACCACCATGAGGTGAAAGGATATGGTGGAGAAAGCTTTCTTCCTGCTACTTTGGTTAGAGGATTTGATCAGTGTGACAATTATAATGCCATAGGAAATAGTTACAAAGATTAGGTTGCCTGATATGATGAAAATATTCATGAAAAAAAGGATATGCAGAATATTTCCAAATGGAGGGCAAGCTAAGGACAGAATGGCTTGATCACACAGAAAGTGGTCAGAGACATTGGGGCCACAGAAAGACAGCCTAGAGATCAAAATTATTGGCACAATGTATACCAAAAAGCCAACTATCCAGCAACTAGCCACAAGCTTGGAACAGTTCTTTGGAGACATAATTAATGGATAATAGAGTGGGTGACAGATGGCCAGATAGCGATCTAAGGCCATGGCTGAGAGAAAGAAGTCTTCAGTGGTACCAAGTGAGTAGAACAGATAAAACTGTATGAAACAGGCTTGGACGGTGATGATCCCTTGAGGAGAAGCTAGATCGAAGAGCATACGGGGCATGGTAGTGGTCACATAGCAGATCTCCAGCAGGGAGAAGTTTCCCAAAAAGTTATACATGGGGAGCTGTGCTAATTGTGCATCTACATGCACCAGCATGATAATAATGGCATTCTCAGCCAAAGTGCTGATGTAGATAATAGTAAAAAGAATAAGAAGGAAGAAACGTTTGTGTTGTCCACTCTCCAAGCCTAGCAAAATGAATTCCTGGACGGTAGTTCCATTGGTCAGCTCCATCTGGAATCAGGAAAAAGAATCAGGATAAAATATTCTTACAATTCACAAATATATCTATTTCCACAACGGATTTAAAAATGGCAGAATACAGAACTATCAAATCAACAAAAAGGAAATGTTCTGGGTTTGCTTATCTCGTCTAAGGGGGTCCTTAAGCAAATGCTCTTCAAGAATGTTGAAGAATGAAGAGCAGATTAGAGAACCTTATAGATAATTCTATCACTGAAAAATCAAAAGGATTATTCATCAACTTGAATAATAAAATACAAGCTCCTTTTAGTTTCTTATGTCACTGAAACCTTTTCACTGTTATTATTTAGTATCATACAAATTAAAAAATAATTGCTATGAGTATATCATCCACACAGTTATATAGACCTAAATATTTGACTTCTGTACCAACTTCTGTTTCATCATATCAATAGCCAAAGTAGAGTGTTCCCTATGCCTAGTAGATGAAACACATAGGAGAAGATATATTTCAGTAGATGCAGGTTTAGAACTGTCTCTCTTAATATCACAGCAGGTGACCGAAGAAAACTTGGAGGACAACATGGTGTGGCTGGAGATGTTTCCAAAGGAAGCTCCTTTGCTTACAACTTAGGCTGGACTCAGAGATGTAGATGTAGAGGGGAAGAAACAAAGCTTTGTGGGCTGATAGAAGAGCTAAACTCCAGAAAGGAGCTGTCATCACACAATGGATGACAGCATCAGTAATTAAACCTAGGAGAGAAGTTCAGTCTTCCAGGATAATGAGTCAGAATCTTTCCACTCAATGCACTATGAACATCAAGTTCTCACAGGTCAGATTGGCAGAGAATCTAATTTCAGTGCAACCCAGATGTCTGGTATTTATCTCCTGTGAGATGTAATCTCAGGCTTCACATGAGAAACTGTTCTGGAAAGAGGAATGAGACAAGACAAAGAGTGGGTCAAGGAAAGATTAGCAGCTGCCTGGAATAAAGCATCTCTCCAGATATGTCCTCAAACAGCTTTGGTGAACGAGTGCATTTCTTTAGTCACACTAATGCACCACAGCAAAATCCTACTATTAACCATGAGAGTTTGTGAGACAGTGGGAGCAACACCTTTGACCCCATTTCATCTCCTTGCCTTGCTACTCTGGAATTTCTCCAGAGATATCCCAAAAGTGCTTTTCCAAAAGGCAACTGGACTTTTTTTTTTCTTTGAAGAAGCTTTTGGGATGAGAAGCAAAACATTTAAAAAAAAACCCCACACAAGAAAGTCCAGTTGCCTTTTGCAAAAGCACCTTTGAAGACAACCACGACCTGGATGATTGAAAATGTCCATAGACATTTCTTCAGAGATATATTTGATAAGCTTTAGTTCCAAATTTGATTTTAGTTTCTTATAGGAGATCTGGAAGAAAGAGAACACCATGCTAGATGGATATTACTATATTTTGCTCAAGGAAGCAGGGAACAGGGAAAGAGCTAGATTAAGTGAGGAATTCACAATATTTATTTCTCCCAAATTTCCCATTTATGAAACTTGCCATATTTAAGAGGGGTGGCAATGATATTGCTGATCAAATTCTGCAGTATATTGATGGTAAAGGACTCTCTCCTTCCCAGGCGAGTAAAGATCTATAGCCTGGATTAAGATGTAACAAGGTTAAACTAATAAACATCCAGCCTGTAGCTCCAATAGAGACTAACAGGAAAGGAGAAATGAACCAGCCCTAGAATTTAGATGTAGAATTTCAGCATCTTCCTCCATGCAACAGTCTAGTTTAATGAAAATAAGGACTAGGGGTGACTTGATAGCAGTGTTCCAATATCTAAGGGGTTCCACAAAGAAGGGAGGGTCAACCTATTCTGAAGGAAGGACAAGAAGCAATGGATGGAAACTCATCAAGGAGAGCACCTAAAACTAAGGAGAAATTTCCTGACAGTTAGAACAATTAATCAATGGAATGACTCACTTCCAGAAGTTGTGGGTCAAACACTAGAGGTTTCTAAGAAGAGACCGGACAACCTTTTGTCTGAAATGGTATAGAGTTTCCTGCTTGAGCAGGGAGTTGGACTAGAAGACCTCCAAGGTCCCTTCCAATTCTGTTATTCTGTTACTCTAATCCAAAAATGGGAAATGAAACATCACAACACAATTCATGGTGCAATTTACCAGCCAAAGGGATGTCTTCATTTTAATTGAAAGAGGCTGTAGGAATGGAATAGATCAAGGGGAGTAACATTGGGGACTGGATCTAAACTGAACACCATATAGAGGCATCCCTCAGAAACATTTAAAGTCTCTGGTAAATGTTATTGTTAGGCAGCTAATGATCACTTACCATTAGCTCTGTTTCTTCTCCAGAGGACAGGGATGTGTGGTGGAGTCCTTAATGTTCCTCTCAACTGAGGAATCGAGCCGAGGCTGCCTTGCATAAGACAGTCAACCAAACTGAGATCAAACTCAGCATTACAAACCGACCCAATGAAGAAATATCTTGGTTCTATGCGATCCTACCATACTGGGTCATACTGGAGAATAACAAGTCATTTTTTGCAATAAGCAAGACCATGTTACGCCACACGGATCAAAATATTGGTGCAAACGGGGTTATTTGGTTGGAAGATAATGATCATTGTGTATCATTATAGCATCATTATGTATCATTACAGCATCCACTGGCAATCCCAGATGAACAGTTCTTATCAAGTAGAGGAGTAGACGTTGTTAGTAATTTTTTAAAAAAATTAGAATACAAAGGAGGATTCCTGGAGGCAATCAAGAGCAGTTGTAAGAATTGGATAAATGAACCTTGGATAAATAGTAAGAGGAAGTCCCTGGCCACCAGTCCTTCCTTCTCTCCTAATCAAGGAGAGAAGCAACCCACAACTAAGGAGAAACTTCCTGACAGTTAAAACAATTAACCAGTGGAACAACCTGCCTCCAGAAGCAGTGAGTGCTCCAACCCTGGAAGTTTTTAAGAAGAGACTGGACAGCCATTTGTCTGAAATGGTATAGGGCTTCATGCCTGAGCAGGGGATTGGACTAGATGACCTCCAAGGTCCCTTCCAACTTTACTACTATTACTATTACTATTACTAATTAGGAAAATCGAACTTACAATCAAAAGGTTCCCAAAGGAGATTTAGTGCCTTCTGCATTTACAGAAAAATGTTATGCCCAGGGTGGGGGGTGCCCAATCATGATTTTATTCTTCACTTACAGTAAAAAAAATCAGCCTCTGTGCTCTAAGAATGGGATTTGAAATAATAATAATAATAATAATAATAATAATAATAATAATAAGAAAGAAGAAGAAGAAGAAGAAGAAGAAGAAGAAGAAGAAGAAGAAGAAGAAGAAGAAGAAGAAGAAGAAGAAGAAGAAGAAGAAGAAGAAGAAGAAGAAGAAGAAGAATAAGAAGAAGAAGAAGAAGAAGAAGAAGAAGAAGAAGAAGAAGAAGAAGAAGAAGAAGTATAATTATATCAGGAAGGCTTACTAACTACTGGAGAGACCAAACTGGCCTACAAGAAAGACCAAATGAAGAACAGAATAGAGGCATGGGAAGACAAAGCACTACATGGCCAATACATGAAAAAAATAGCTGGGAAAGCAGATAATAATAAGACCTGGCAATGGCTAAGAGCAGGAAAATTGAAGAAAGAGACCGAGGGACTAATTCTGGCTGCACAAGACCAAGCCTTAAGGACAAATGCATACAAAGTCAAAATTGAGAAGACAGCAACAGACAGTAAGTGCCGCCTATGCAAAGAAGCTGAAGAAACAGTGGACCACTTGGTAAGCTGTTGCAAGAAGATTGCACAAACTGATTACAAGCAGCGGCATGACAAAGTAGCAACAATGGTGCATTGGAAGATCTGCAAAAAATATCATTTGCCTGTAAGCAAAAACTGGTGGGATCATAAAATAGAGAAAGTCATAGAAAATGATAAAATTAAACTGCTCTGGGACTTCAGAATTCAAACAGACAAGCACCTGCAACATAACACCCCAGACTTAACAATTGTCGATAAGAAAGACAAAAAAGTCTGGATAGTGGACGTGGCAGTGCCTGGAGATAGCAGAATAGAAGAGAAAGAACTGGAGAAGATAACAAAATACAAAGACCTACAAATAGAAATAGAAAGACTGTGGCAAAAGCAAGCAAGGGTAGTACCAATAGTCATAGGCTCCTTGGGTGCAATCCCAAAACAACTGGAGCACCACTTGAACACCATTGGCATTGACAAATTCGCTATTAGTCAATTGCAAAAGGCGGCCTTATTAGGAACTGCTTCCATCCTGCGACGATATCTGTAATACCATCAAACATCCACATCTGCCTATCCCAGGTCCTGGGTAAGGACTCGATAGGTAGACAAAATGCCAAATCCAGTCTGAACATCTGGCTGACTGTGTGATGATCAATAATAATAATAATATAAGTGGACGTGGCAGTGCCTGGAGATAGCAGAATAGAAGAGAAAGAACTGGAGAAGATAACAAAATACAAAGACCTACAAATAGAAATAGAAAGACTGTGGCAAAAGCAAGCAAGGGTAGTACCAATAGTATAGGCTCCTTGGGTGCAATCCCAAAACAACTGGAGCACCACTTGAACACCATTGGCATTGACAAATTCGCTATTAGTCAATTGCAAAAGGCAGCCTTACTAGGAACTGCTTCCATCCTGCGACGATATCTGTAATACCATCAAACATCCACATCTGCCTATCCCAGGTCCTGGGTAAGGACTCGATAGGTAGACAAAATGCCAAATCCAGTCTGAACATCTGGCTGACTGTGCGATGATCCATAATAATAATAATAATAATAATAATAATAATAATAATAAAAAGGAAAAATGTGAAAACTGAAGGAATCAAGATGCCCCACGAAAATAACATTAAGAGTCTGGATGAGGAAGAGTACTACAAATACTTGGGTATCCTTCAAGCTGACAACATCAAGCACACTGAAGTCAAGAAAAAGATTAGAGGTGAATACATCAAGAGAGTGACGAAGATCTTAAAATCCAAACTCAATGGAGGAAATACCATAAAGGCAATCAACACCTGGGCAATCCCAGTCATTAGGTACACAGCTGGAATAGTGGACTGGACTCAAGCAGAACTAAAAGCAATGGATAGGCAGACCAGAAAAATAATGACAATGAATCATGCCCTTCATCCACGCAGTGACATTGATAGACTTTATCTACCAAGGCAAATAGGTGGGCGTGGAATGCTACAAGTACATCAGATGGTTGAAGAAGAAAAAATGGCTTTGGAAGAATATCTGAAGAACAATGATGAAGATGCACTGAAATTAGTATATCAGGAAGGCTTACTAACTACTGGAGAGACCAAACTGGCCTACAAGAAAGACCAAATGAAGAACAGAATAGAGGCATGGGAAGACAAAGCACTACATGGCCAATACATTAAAAAAATAGCTGGGAAAGCAGATAATAACAAGACCTGGCAATGGCTAAGAGCAGGAAAATTGAAGAAAGAGACCGAGGGACTAATTCTGGCTGCACAAGACCAAGCCTTAAGGACAAATGCATACAAAGTCAAAATTGAGAAGACAGCAACAGACAGTAAGTGCCGCCTATGCAAAGAAGCTGAAGAAACAGTGGACCACTTGGTAAGCTGTTGCAAGAAGATTGCACAGACTGATTACAAGCAGCGACATGACAAAGTAGCAACAATGGTGCATTGGAAGATCTGCAAAAAATATCATTTGCCTGTAAGCAAAAACTGGTGGGATCATAAAATAGAGAAAGTCATAGAAAATGATAAAATTAAACTGCTCTGGGACTTCAGAATTCAAACAGACAAGCACCTGCAACATAACACCCCAGACTTAACAATTGTCGATAAGAAAGACAAAAAAAGTCTGGATAGTGGACGTGGCAGTGCCTGGAGACAGCAGAATAGAAGAGAAAGAACTGGAGAAGATAACAAAATACAAAGACCTACAAATAGAAATAGAAAGACTGTGGCAAAAGCAAGCAAGGGTAGTACCAATAGTCATAGGCTCCTTGGGTGCAATCCCAAAACAACTGGAGCACCACTTGAACACCATTGGCATTGACAAATTTGCTATTAGTCAATTGCAAAAGGCGGCCTTACTAGGAACTGCTTCCATCCTGCGACGATATCTGTAATACCATCAAACATCCACATCTGCCTATCCCAGGTCCTGGGTAAGGACTCGATAGGTAGACAAAATGCCAAATCCAGTCTGAACATCTGGCTGACTGTGCGATGATTGATAATAATAATAATAATGTTGAAAGTGATCATAGAGGTCATCTAGTCCAATCCCCTGCTCAGGCATGAAGCCCTATACCATTTCAGACAAATGGCTGTCCAGTCTCTTCTTAAAAACTTCCAGGGTTGGAGCACTCACCGCTTCTGGAGGCAGGTTGTTCCACTGGTTAATTGTTTTAACTGTCAGGAAGTTTCTCCTTAGTTGTGGGTTGCTTCTCTCCTTGATTAGTTTCCATCCATTGCTTCTTGTCCTGCCTTCAGGCACTTTGGAAAATAGCTTGACTCCCTCTTCTTTGTGGCAGCTCCTGAGATATTGAAATACTGCTATCATGTCCCCCCTCGTCCTTCTCTTTATTAAACTAGACATACCCAATTCCAGCAGCCGTTCCTTATATGTTTTTGCCTCCAGTCCCCTAATCATCTTTGTTGCTCTTCTCTGTACTCTTTCTAGAGTCTCAACATCTTTTTTACATCATGTGACCAAAACTGGATGCAGTATTCCAAGTGTGGCCTTACCAAGGCATTGTAAAGTGGTATTAATACTTCACGTGATCTTGATTCTATCCCTCTGTTAATGCAGCCTAGCACTGTGTTGGCCTTTTTGGCAGCTGCAGCACACTGCTGGCTCATATTTAAGTGATTGTCCACTAGGACTCCGAGGTCCCTCTCACAGTTACTACTACTGAGCAAGGTATCCCCTATACCACAGGTCGGCAACCTGCGGCTCCGGAGCCGCATGCAGCTCTTTGAGCCTTCCCCTGTGGCTCCCAGCCTCCTCTGCCTTTGCAGAGAGAGACAAAGACAGAGAGAGGCAATTGCGTTTCCCTGCTTCTCTCTTTCTCTCTCTCTCTCTCTCTCTCTCTCTCTCTCTCTCTCTCTCTGTGTGTGTATGTTCATGTTTTGTGTGTGTGTATGTGTAAAAGAGAGTGCACTCACAGTGTTCTCGAGGAGCTGAAAAGCTTTCTGGGCGGAGCTCCTCCCTTTGCTAGTCTCTGCAGGAAGGAGGAAGCAGGAAGGGCAGGAGAGAGCTAGCTAGCCCAGCTAGGCTGACTCAGGAATTCTGGGAGTTGAAGTCCATGAGTCATAAAAGAGACGAGGTTGCTTACCCCTGAGTTTGTTGGACAACAGCTTGAAGCTTGCCAGGTGAGCAGCAGATAGAAGGGGGGGGAGAAAGAGAGAGAGGAAAAGAGGGAGGGGAGAGAGAGAGGAAAGAGAGAGAGAAAGAAAAAGAGTGGGGGAAGAGGAGTGGCAGACCAAGGGCAGATAGAGAGGGAGGGAGAGAGAGAGACACACACAGAGAGAGACCCTTTTGACATCTAAAATGAAGATAACACTGCATATATCCTTTTTTTACCTGTGCATGTAAGTAATTTTATTCTCTTAAAGCATTCTCTTGGTGATTATTGTTTTAATAGTATGGATATTCCCAAGAGTCATATTTTTACTTTTATTTTTCATGTGTGTGTGTGTATATATATATACATGTGTATACATATACATACATACATACATACACATACACACACACACACAGACACACCTATAATAAAGGTAAAAAAGGATATATGCAGTGTTATCTTCATTTTAGATATCAAAAGGGTTTTGCGGCTCCCCATGTTTTGTTTTTGGTGGAAAACGGGTCCAAGTGGCTCTTTGAGTGTTTTGGGTTGCCTATCCCTGCCCTATACTATACCTGTACATTTGGTTTTTCTTGCCTAAATGTAGAACCTTACTTTTTTCACCACTGAATTTCATTTTGTTAGATGGCGCCCAGTTTATCAGTATCTCTATGTGGCACAAGGAAGATAATTCCCATAAACTAGCAGTGGGCCATCAATCTATCTGCTTCTAGCAAGCTCTATTCAAACATTTGCTAGCCATAAACAAAAGCAAAGTTCTTAGCCCAGTGTGCCTTTGGCCAAAATAGGATCTGTGCCAGAAAGATAGATTAATACCTTTTTAATAATGTAATGGTAGTCCTTGATTTATGACCACAACTGAGCTCAAAATTTCTGTTGCTTAGTGAGACATTTGTTACGTGAGTGCTGCCCCATGTTATGACCTTTCTTGTTGTTAAGTGAATCACTGCAGCATCCCCACGGTCACATGAACAAAATTTTAGATGCTTGGTTACTGACTCATATTTGTGACGGTTGCAGTGTCCTGGGTTCATGTAATCACTTTGGGCGACCTGGCAAAGTTAAAAATGGGAAGCCAGATTCATTTCACAGCTGCATAAATAACTTAACAACTGCAGTGATTCACTTAGCAACTGTGACAAGAAAGGTCGTAAAATGGGGCAAAACTCAGTTAACAATTGCCTCGCTTAGCAACAGAACTTTTGGACTCAATTGTGATTGTAAGTTGAGGATTACCTGAACTAAAGTTCAAATTTCTGGGCATTCTGGGCATTACTGATTTTTATGCTTCTCCTGGAAATTCAGCCTGGAAATTGGCTGAAGACCTGTTCACAAGAAGGAGGCAACTGAAGGCTGCAGTGTGCAAATGCCTTTAGACAAGGGCATCTGGATTGATGGTTAAGGTGCTGGCCTAGAATCAGGAAACCATGGCTGGGTGACTTTGGATCAATCACTCTCTCTTAGTCCAAGCCATATGGACTAAGAGTTGACGTTGTGGAAAAAATACAGGTAGTCCTCAACTGAGTCCAAAATTTATGTTGCTAAGTGAAACATTTGTTAAGTGAGTTTTGTCCCATTTTACAATTTTTCTTGCTAGAGTTGTTAAGTGAATCATTGCCATTATTAAGTTAGTTGTTAAGTGAATCTTGCTTGCCCATTGAATTTGCGTGTCAGACTGTTGCAAAAGTTGGCCACATGACCCCCGGGCTGAATATGAAAAGAATATATTGCTTTTTTTAAATGAAGTGCTTTCAAGACTGGGGGGTCTCAGAACCTCATAACTTCAAAAAAAAAAACCACATCCATTTCTAGAAACTGGTCTATGTTTCATCCTTGAAGGCTGAGGAACCAATCTCTAAAGAAAAGATCTTTTGGAGACTAAGGAGGCAGATCCTTTGGGTCACCTTCCCATGAGAAACCGGATGTATATAAGAGAGATCCTCATGCTATGATCTAGACTCTTCATCTTTCGTCTTCCCATGAATACTCCCTGCACTATCTGTCTTCATGTGCACTGCAGCATGAAATGGTGTACTGCAGCCAGTGAGATACAGGAAGACTCAACAGAAGAAGGGGGTGAGAATTAACAAGAAATTAGCTAAAGGGAAGAAATTGACCAAATAGGTATTATTTAAATTCTTCCTTAGCTTAAAATTAAAAGGTGAACAATTGTGTAGCTTTCTGCTTGCCTAAAAAAAAGGTCAAGTCTAATGTCTATTCTCTTTTCTTTTCTTTTTTTTTCCTAATAAGGAGGATCAGGAAACTAAATGACACTAATAAATATTTGTTTATTTTAGCGTACTTACACAGCCGTCCATATCACAAACATGTAGCTCTAGGAAGCGTACAACACAGCAATAAAAGTAGCTCCATAAAAATCCAGTTCTAAGCAATCTTCAAATGTTTCACACACACAAACACTCTTACTCTTGAAACAGATTAAGCACTTTAGGAAATAGTTGTGGTGGAATTTATAGAAGGCTGGAACATATAGTAAGGGACATAAACCACAAGTATAACTAGATATGGGATTCTTTAGTTATTCACCAGTTTATAACTGCTGTGAGTACTCTTTGACTTTTTCCATACTGTCAACTTTCTGGAAATAAAGTTGGTTAAGAAATTCTTTTCCAAATCTCAACACTTTTGTTGAATTTGGCCAGAGAATTGGCTTGATGTTTTATCCAGTCCACATTTATCAGAGACCTTGAGTGACAGATTCCCAGCTTTTCTATCCCTCCTGAATCAGGTTTTTTTTTAAAAAAAGGGAAAAAGAAATAAAAAGATTACTATTTTGGAAGAGCTGTGGTGGTACATTGATTAGAATGCAGTATTGCAGGCTTAATTCTGCTGACTGCCAGCAGTTTGATCCTGACTCAAGGTTGACTCAGCCTTCCATCCTTCCAGGGTCGGTAAAATGAGGACCCAGATTGTTGGGGACAATATACTGATTCTGTAAACCTTTTAGAGAGGGCTGTAAAGCACTGTGAAATGGTATATAGGTCTAGTGCTATTGTTATTTTACTATTTTTTCCATATCTTGGGCTAGAAAAGAGGGAGAATTCTTGACAACTTCACAAGGGATTTTTTTTTAAAGGCTGTTCATTTACTGTTACAATGACCAGTGTAAAAACAAATTTGTTAAAAATAATGGCAGTGGGGGACAGGAACCAGGGATCAGAGGGGCTAGGACATTCCCACTAACATACAGTAACTATTTGTCATCTGCTGACAAGGAACTGAAGCACAGTATGCAAGCCAGATAGCATCAGTTGGGTGGGTGCAAGACAGAAAACCATTTTTGAAACAGAGTTAGAAAACGCAAGTGGTGCTGGCGTTAGATGCTTGTTTGGTGTATATTGAGTATGATAGATGTATTCTCATGCTCCAGAAATGGTGGGCATTTATGTTTGAATCAGGTGTGACTGGAGAAAGGGAAGTCAATGCTTCCAGGAGCTGAGTCATGGCTGCTGACCAAGTTACTTCTACCCTAGAAGAATTTGTAGTCTCTTTCTAAAGGTTTCATAAGACTGCTTTGTAAGCATCCGGGGGGGGGGATGGATTATTGAGAGTTACAGATTCAGTAGCATCCATACAAACGTCAAAACAAGGACAAGCATTGCAGTGCAGTCTAAGCCCCATCCTTTTCTATGTACCTGCAATGCCAACCTATGACACAAGGAAAGGAACTAGGGTGGAGACATTCATGTGAGATCTACACACATATACTTGTCTTGAAATTGCAGTTTTAGTATTGCATGCAACACTTGCTGAAATCCTGAGCAAATAAGTTGATGTCTAGATAGAGATATAGATGATAGAGAGATGAGAGAGAGAGAGAGAGAGAGAAAGATGTAGTCAACCACAGAGACAGACAGACAGACAGACAGACAAACAGACAGACAGACAGACAGACAGATACACACACACACAGAAAAACAGATTTCTTCCCACACAAAAACACAATTAGAAAAGGGGAACACTTTATTTATTTATAGAAAATTACCATCCCAACCTAAATAGTTCTCAAGATTGTTTTTTTCCTTTGTTGTAATATCATAAATCACAATATATTGTATTATTTCAATACAGATCTGAATGCAGCAATCTTTATATAATATGACTCAAAGTTTTTAATCTTTGATTATTTAAAAATTTAAAGTATTGAAAATAAAAAGAGGAAAATAAAAACTCTTATCAGTATCAATTGCCATTTGAAATGTCACAGTTACACATATAACATTATTTAACTTTTCATCCAGAAATGATATTAGTTAAAAAAAGAAAGAACCACTGCAATTCAATCTCAAACTCTTTATTAATTTATTTAATTTTTTAAATCCATTGTATTATTACTTTGTTTTGTGTGTTTGTGTCTGTGATCTTATATTGGTAACAGGAAATAAAATATAGATGAAGCAAATTTAACAGAAGTTAAAATACTCAAAATATCTAAAAATAGAAAAAAGCAGGTAATGAAGATAATTAAACAGTTCATTAAATTAAGATTTGCTGTACTTCCTTTTTCTTTCCTTTTTCATGATTAATTTCTTTGAAATAGTATTTCTTATAACCTCTGCACTTATAACCCCTACAGAGTAGGCTGTCTACTCTGATAAAAGAATTGTGTGGTTTAATTGTGTGATTTAATTGAGATACCTAGTTAGATGATAGATATCTATCTATAAATATATGGGGTGGGAGGGGAGAACATTGATGAGTTCTTAAAGATCTTCCATTTTTCATCTTAAAACTCTGCTAAATCTTTAAAGCTAAAATGAGTACTTTGTGATATAACTACAACTTCAATCCTAACTCAGCTATGAACTAGTAGATCAGCAAACTTTAATACTGATAAGAAGGAATATTTGTAGATCAGAGTAGAACTGTGGGGTCCTTGGTACTCTCTTTTGTTTGGTTATTTTCCTGCAAATGTTTCATTACCAAACTAGGTAACATCATCAGTGCTCCTTGCAGATGTTACCTACTTTGATAATGAAATGTCTACCAGAAAAACCACCAAGCTCGGAGAGCACCAAGGATCCCACAAACTTTAGTCCATGTGACATTTCTCAGCAAAAAAATCTTATCTAGAATACAGATATTCCAAAGGTTATGGGCCTTGATTACTCAGGTGTATATTCTGTAACCTGTGTTATATGTTAAAAGATGGCGACAGCAAATAGCACCAAAGTCCAGGAATTCATTTTGGTGGGCTTTGGAGATGGGGAGAAGAAACGCTTACTGCTCCTCATTTTTTTCACTACTCTCTACATCCTTACTTTGGCTGAGAACATCATCGTTATCACCATAGTGGTCCTGGACACCATCTTGGCCCATCTTCCCATGTACATCTTGCTGAGCAACTTCTCCTGGTTAGAGATGTGTTATGTGAGCACAACTGTGCCTCGTATGATCTTGGACCTGATCTCACCAAATGGGACCATCTCCTTCCATGCCTGCTTCCTTCAGTACTACAGCTTTGTTAGTCTTGGTTCCACAGAGTGCTTTTTCCTTTCAACCATGGCCTTGGATCGCTATTTGGCTATCTGCCACCCACTACGCTACCCCTATATCATGTCTCCTCATTCCTGCTATGCCCTTGTGGCTATCTGTTGGATTCTTGGCTTTTTGTGGAATCTAATCCCAGTTGTTATGATCTCCAAGTTGGATTTCTGTGGCCCTAACATCATTGATAATTTGATATGCGATCCTGGACCCATCCTTTCCTTGGCTTGCTCTCCACTTGGAAATATGCTCCTTCATTATCAATTTGCAATGAGCTCTCTAGTCATCATACTCAACCTGTTCTTTGCTGTGTTATCCTACAGTGCTGTGGTTCTCACCTTGGTGAAAGCCACTCACCAAAGCGGCAGTAAGAAGGCCTTCTCCACCATCTCCTTCCATCTCATGGTGGTCACCCTTTTCTATGGTTCCGTAGCAGGGATGTACATATACCCAAGTGCGGAAAACGAGTCGGGTATCAAAAATTTAGTTACTGTCTTCTACACTGCCATTATACCCTTTCTCAATCCCATGATCTACTGTTGGAGAAATGATCAGATGAAGGAGGCCCTGGACAGGGTACATAGAAGTAAGGTAGCTTTACTGAGATTTAACCCAAATAAATGTTAGGAAACTAGAAGAAAATAGCACAAATATAACTAATCATCCAATCAGTGAGATAAACAAGTGTTGTCGCAGTTTGGAAAACAGCAATATTGTTTTCTCATGAATACCTTATCCCCGTTTCATCCATCTCTTTGCTTTCTTAGTTTCAGTTTTAGTATAGATTTTAATAATATTTTGAGGGGCATCATGGCTCAGCAGTTAAAGATGCTGAACTTGACAGTTGGAAAGCTGACAGCCCAGGTTTGAGACTCGAGCACTATACCACAGAGTGAGCCCCCCGTTTTTGCCCCAGCTCTTGCCCACTTAGCAGTGAAGCATACAAATGCAAGTAGATAAATAGGTACCAATTGCAACCAATACATGAGACAAATGTCACGTTAATTAAAAAACAAGATCCGCGAACACTGGCTGGCAGTCAAACACCACGATCCTAAACCCTCAATGTCTACTCACACCAACACCAAACAGCACCAGTTCAATCTGAGTAACACAAAAATCATTGGCCATGCTACCACCCGTCACACTCATGAATTCATCGAAGCCTGGCACTCCACAAGCAATTTCATCCACAGACACATTGACTTACAACCAGCCTAAGAACCCATCAGGATCCAAATCAACTACATAGCCAACCAGAGACAGCAGCAACCCTCAACCAACCCAGGCAAGCCCCCTCTTACCTGCCACCAGTAGTTCACCTCCCAATGATCCTGACCTGAGGTAACCTCCCCATCACAAGACCCATCACAAGCCCTTCACTGATGACTCACACCTGGCCCATCACAAAACTCATCACAAGACGCTCACATGACACACCCACACCTGAAGCCCTTATAAACATAAGAACACTGATATCCCCTAAACTCTACTGAAGGTGTTAGCTAGCCTGGTAACAAAACGTTCAGAAATCAACCCATACACTCAGCGAATGAACCTTCACCCTCATTCTACACCCAAACTACAGATATTTGCCACTATTGCAAATAGGTACCACTTTGGCGGGAAGTTAACCGTGTTCTTTGCACCTTAGTGTGTAGTCATGCTGACCACATGACCACAGGAATGTCTTCAGACAACGCAGGCTCCCTCGACTAAGAAACAGAGATGAGCACTCTCCCACTAGAGTCCAATGCAAATGGGGAAACTTTCATCTTTACCTTTATAATATTTTAATCTGTGTAGCTTTAATGTTTTAACGTTCTAATTATGTTTTACTTGTTTTATAACTTGTAAGCCACCCAGAATCACCTTGTAGGTGAGATGTGCGACATAAAAATGTAATAAATAAATATTCTTGTGAAATATTTTGCATGGTATAATCATGCAATGCAAAATCTTACTGGGAGATTAAAAACAGGTGTATTTATTTAGCTTTTTAGCCAACCTCCCTTTTTTTCAGAACTATTTCTATTTCATGTCGGTCTCTTTTCATGCAACATAGTTGCAGCTAAGCTATAAAAAGTCTGACAGCCAAGTTTCATTAATGCTTTTTACAACCCCCCCCCTTTTTTTGCTTTATCTTGTTGTGTTATCTCTGAAAGAGGGAAAACTGCTGATAAATAATCTATGATACTTGCCTCTTCTCTCATTCAACTGTCATTTTCTCTTCCTACAAGAAATGGAAAAACCTGAGGATTGTATATGTGTGTTTTAATTAAATTGTTGTGTAGCTATGAAAATGACAGTGTATTTGAGGTCAAAAGCAAAATGTACTTAATGCAAGATATAAAAATACTTTTAATTAAATGTGCAATATTCAGCCATGGATTTCTACATTTGGTGTTGATATTTCAAAATGCTTGCCTTATTTTTTTTTAATGAATATATGATATATAGCCGGATTATCTTGCTGTGGAATAAATAAACTATTGTTATTGATGGTGACAATGATATAGATATATCTATTCCTTTTCCTTTTGTGCCATTTTTTTTTGAGTTTGGAATTTTCTGTCTGCTGTTTTTAATGTTTTCAGTGATGGTTCTTCAGGTAACCTGGGCCCATGCAACGAAAGGCATTAAAGATTAGGTCACTTTATCATCAATGCATTGATGATGTTACTTAGTTGGGTAATGAAATGTCTGCAAGAAAATAACCAAGCTCAGAGAGTACCAGAGACTCCATAGTTCAACCCTGAATTACAAATATTCTCTTTTATTCTTATCCCTATCTTCCATGACCAACCATATACTTTGATTTCAGGTTTGTCTATACTCCACCATCTTACATCCCATAATATCCTTACTTCTGAATATTAGGTATTGAGGATTGTTTCCTGGAGTCAAAAAAACTGTTTCTGGAGTGGAAAGAGATAAGGCTGATGTCTTGGGTTTCTCAACTGAACTTGTGTTGCTATTAATATTGTGGAACTATTGTATCTTCGTCAAAAGAGAAACTGAGAAATTGGGAAGATTGCAAACAGAAGATGATACTAAGACCTCTCCTTATAATTTTTTTTTTGTAGGAGGGGAAGAGGTTATTGTAATGATAAAAAATATTCTAAAACATCTCAAGCATGAGGCCAGTAAACAGATTGTCCAGAGCTATAGAAAATTAGTTTGGCCTACTGGTTAAGGCCCTGGGCTAGAGACCACGAGTTCTAATCCCATCTTAGCTATGAAAACCATCTGCGTGACTTTCCCTCTCTCTCAGCCCAACTTACTTCACAGGGTTGTTGTTGTGGGGAAAATAGGGGAAAGATGTGCTAGATATGTTCACCCCCTTGAGTTATTTGAAAAAAATAATAAAGCTTGGATATAAATAAATAAACGTGCAGCAAATGTTCAGACATTTTAATTACACCTAATGAAAAAAGGTTCACATATATATGGATATACATGAGGCGAAACATAAATTTAACTCGACAATTTTTATTTTTTCATTTGATTATCTGTATATTTTATAATTTCCCCATTAGCTATTATTAGAGTTCATACACTTTAACACTGAGCATCTCGATTGGGAGCCATTGTTTATAACCATGGTTTATTGTAAAATGGTTTCTTTTTACACAGCATGTTAACCCATAATCTATGGTCCATAAATCACAGGGGTAACCTACACACAATACCAACCCAGAGAAAAACACATGATAGTTTAGTGCTAAGTAGGAATTTGGTCACAGCATGACCCCAAAAAATGATTGCTGATCACATCCGAGTCATTCCAACTTCTAGAATCCCTCAGTCTGTAACAGAATAACCCTCCAATGGTTGTCTGGCTTCAATCTAATTGATTAATAGCAATATTATTGGCAAACATTGTAAAATCTTCTTTCGACCTGATAACAAACAGATTGAGATGGAGAATCTGAAAATTATGAGTAAAAGAAACCAGGGATAAGATACAGTACTGTACCAAAAAATATCTCAAATATAATTGACATTTCTGTTCTTTAACCATCATGTCCATGTATCTCCCGTTATACTGAAAATAAGACTGGTCTCATACTAATTTTTGCTCCAAAAGACGCATTAGGGCTTATTTTCAAATTAGGTCTTATTTCCAGGGAAATACAGTACTAAATGCATCCATCTGGCTGACAACCTTATTTTTGGGGTGGGGCTTATATTACAAGCATCCTGAAAAATCACACTAGGGCTTATTTTCCGGTTGGATCTTATTTTCTGGGAAACACAGTAGTAATTAAACTAAAAGCACACTTTCATTGTAATCCAGTCCCTCATTGTTTTGCTTATTTTTACACATGAAAATCAATAACAATGATGTCATTATAAACTCAAAAAGGTCCTAGAAGGGAAAAGGCCCTGATCTCTTGACCAAGGTCCAGACCAACCATCCATGAATCACACTCCCTAATTTTCCCAGAATACTGTCCTTTTCAGAGCATCTTTCATCTCCTTGTTCCTCAAGCTGTAGATGAGTGGATTGAGCAAGGGGGTCAGCACCGAATAGAAAAGCGTCACCACTTTGTTGCTTCCTCCTGATGCTCTGGGGCTACATAAGTGACCATGATGGAGCCATAGAAGAGGCTTACCACCAGCATATGTGAGGTACATGTGGAAAATGCCTTCCGTTTCCCAGTGCTTGAAGGGAGCCTCATTACCGTCCAGAGGAGAGTAGCATAGGAGCAAACAATGAAGAGGAAGGGGCCAAAAATAGCGATGGAGCTGAGGCTGTAGAAGGCCAGTTCTGTGTCCGGGGCTGGAGTGCATGAAGAGGCCAACAGTGGCCCTGGGTCGCAGATAAAGTGATTGAGGATTCTGGAGCCACAGAAATGGAGCTGGGAAATCAAAATGATGGGTGCCAGAAATCAGAGAAAGCCAGAGGCCCAACAGGAAGCAGCCAGGATGCAGCAGAACTTTTGAGACATCAGCAGTGGGTATCTCAGTGGGTGACAGATGGCTAAGTATCGGTCTAAGGCCATTGCAGCAAGAAGGAAGCTTTCGGTGGTCCCCATAGAAAAGAAAAAATAGAACTGGAGAAAACAGCCATGGAAAGAGATGACACCCGGCAGTGGAGAGGCCAAATCGAAGAGCATCCTGGGTACCGTGGTGGTTACGTAGCACATCTCTAGACCCGAAAAGTTTCCCAGGAGGATATACATGGGCAGGCGGCTGAGTCGAGAGTCCAAGAGAACAGCCCATATGATGCAGAGGTTCCCCACCAAAGTGAAGGTGTAGCAGATGGAAAGTAGGGAGCATAGGAGCAGCTGGAAGGAGGGCAAAAGGGATGGGAAACCCAGAAGAACAAAGCCCTTCATCACCCTGGTATGGTTGACTTGATCCAAAGGGTTGTACTTCTGTTGCTAGGAGAATCACACATTGGGAAAACAATCAATGTCTGAAAAAAAACCATACTATGACATCTTTACCCAACTTGGATAGCTTTCAGATATGTGAACTTCAACTACCAGGATTCTCAGTAATTGCCATAATAACTGCTCAATTCTGGGCGCTGAAGTCCACATCTAGAGGTGGATCCAAGACTATTATGGATTAAGCATGCCTAGAGGATCACTGGTCTGAAAGTTCTCTGTTGTTCTTCACTTCTAAATTCAGATAAGCAATAATTTTTAGCTTGTCTACCATGTTATTCACTAACCATCACCCAATAGATTTATTTTTACTATGAACATTAATGTCTCTGTCCCAGTCAGGTACTCACAAGGGCAGGAATACATGAAAAATGAAAGAAAGAAAAGTTGGAGAATTTATAGAAGAAAACAGCAAAGACTGAAGAACATATCTTAGAAAGCAGAAAGATAGAACTGAGTTTCGGAGTGCTAAGAAATTTAAAGATCAAGAGAAAATAAACAGAAAGAACTTAAAATTGGAAGGAAAAATATTTTATAATAATGCTTTCGGTAATTAATCAATGCACAAACCATTTTTAGCTGTCAAAAGGACCCTAAGTGTAACATTTCTGAAAGAGAAAAATAAACATTGTAATTGTCAAATATGGTGGCACATTATGAGATATTTTGATTTTAAATGATTGTAGAGTTACCAACATAGGTCTGTTTTATTCCCTGAAATCTGAGGTAAAGTGATAGATAGCTAGATTTGGGACTGGAATTCCAATAAATAGCATCCTTTTAGAATGCAGATAAATATTACTAAGAATGAAGGATTTCTCCCGTTGCTGCATCTCTCAGTTTTTCTAGAAAGGGAAAAAAATCACTTTTGTGATTTTTACTTTTTTTTTAACTTACTTTTCACTTGCCCAACCTTCTTTTCTTCTTATCAAGAAAGCCAGTGGGGACATAAAATATGGTCCCATTTCCTTTTATTTTCATAATTTCCCTACAAAGCAGGCTTATGATGTGCAAAACTGAGTAGCCTTTCCAAAAATAAAAAAAAATAGAACTTTGATTTACTCAGTCTATTCTAGACTCATATTCTAAATACTTTATAAAAAGAAAACTTTGGGGACCATTTCATCAAAACTAAACCTATTTAACCTCAAATAACTTAGTTTACAGGATCATAACTTCACATAGACCACTGAGTTCAACATCTGTTCAATCCAGGAATCCAAATTATGCATCCCAGCAGATGGATGTTGAGAATTCTTTGAGCACCTCCAATGAAGGAGACCCCATCTTCTTTCAAGATGATGGATATCACCACTGAATTGCTCTTACCATTACTAATTTTGTCTAACATTTAATCCAAACTGCATCTCTGAGGCTTAAATCTGTCATTCTGAATCCTGTGCTGTGAAACAAGAGGGAACAAATATGGATCTTTTGGATGCTTGAAGAGCATTATCACATTGTCCTTCAGACATCATTTATCCAGGCTAAACATGGCCAGGTCCTTCTGATTCATAGAAATTGGCTCCTGAATCATCCTTATCGACCTTCTTTGGGCATTATCCTGTTATAGTTGTCCCATCACCCATATTTTCTAGGGAGTTCCCAAACTCATTTCCTTAACTATCATGCAATGTTATCAGACAACATTCTACCAACATTCCCCTGATCCATTACTGTCCATCCGATTACAGATTGAAATGTGTCCCACCAGTTTCACACCATTTATAGTTCAATATCACTGTTTGAAGAATCAGGATTGATTGTTTCTGAAAGAGTCCTTACTTGAGAATGTATCTCTAGAAAGCAAAAAGAGGGATCTGGATTTTGGAGTGATAATTTAAAAGTGGAGTTTATCCTATATAGTTGTTATGGACTTCAAGTTTCAGAATTCTCAGCAAATTCCAAAAACAAAAACAAGTTTCATGGTTTTTTCCCCCTCTCCTTATCCATCAGTCCCAAAAGAAAAGTCTCTGCTTTTAATTATATATTCATCCTTAAAATGTTCTGTATTATTAAAAGCAATGCATTTTTTCTAGCTTTCTTCCATGTCCACCAAACATGAATAAA